GACTCGTAAACTGAATATCCATCGATGTATGTTAATAACTTCCAGTTGAAATAACATGAATACTTCAAATCTAAAGCGATTTATACAGGTCACACACACAGAAATGATCGTCATATATCCGTACTGTGTCAATTGCAAATATCCCTTTTGCTGTTCCCAATGAGATTTATTATATAATTTTATAAGATTTTATAAAGAAATTGGACAAAACATACTATCTTTTAAAGCAGTAATATCTTACCGTCATTGTTCTAAATACAGCATGCATACTTTCTAAGAAAGTAATTTTTAATTGCGGATTTAAAAATCTATATTTGTTAAATGTTACAAAGGTAATACTACCAAAAATTTATGATTCACTATTTCTAAAAAAAAAACATCAAGTCATATTGTATAAGTGTTATCATATTGAATGTCAAAATTTTTACAAAAATTATTGAGTTATTCAATCACTCAATATTCTATTAGAAAGAAAGAATTTGAAATATTAATACAATACTATGTATTAAGAGGCCATGGCATACAAACTTAAACAATAAAACGCACAACAAACTTAAACAATAAGCAGTAAACGAATTGAATCATAATAAGGCTACAACGTAGCAGTAGTAAATCCAACATTAATTTCCTTACTGTCCGAGAAAAAAATGTTTCATATCTTATAATTATAATATATACGTGTGTTTCATTTCAATTGCCCCGGGTAAATATCTCGAAAAATATGGAAGATACGAAAAAATGTTTCAGACAACAAAAGTTATATGGTTTCGAGGGGGACATAAGATGCCATTAATTTGACCTTAAATAATTGTTTGAAGGTCACATAAAGGTCACTTTAATTTCTTAAATAGAAGCTCCTATTTTTCATTACATTTTCTTATAGTTTATCTCAAGAGATTTCCAAAATACTATAATCAAATATTTTTCGTGAAGTACTTTTTGAGTTATAAGATTTGAAAGTTGTGTCACAGTATGTGCCGGCATTAGCATTACGCAAAGTATTTGACCAAAGTGCAAAATTAAAAATCAGAGATAACCTAAAGAACACTCAAGAGGTTTTTGCCATCGATCGGATACCTTGCGTAATGTTAATGCCGGCTGTACTGTGACTTTCAAGCCTTACATGAAAAATACTTGAAAAAACATATGATTATAGTGTTATGGAAAACTCTTGAGATAAGCTATAAGAAAATCATTACATTTATAAAATAGAGGGTTTCATTTAAGAAATTAAAAGTGACCTTTATGTGATCTTCAAACAATTATTCAAATTAGTGACACCGACTTATATCCTCTTTGAAACTATACTTATATCCTCTTTGAAACTATACAACTTTTGATCTGAAACATTTTTTCGTATTTTAGATATTTGCCTGGGATAATTAAAATAAAACATACGGTATAATTATAAAATATGTTCATATAACATTTTTTTCCAAGTTTTTGATTGCTTAAATTTTTGGCCTCTACTACATAAATAACAATAATTGAAAAGTGTCTTATAATAAGAGATATTTCAGAATATGCGGCAGAGAGATAAATGTCAAATTCTAATTTTCTATTTAAATACTTTCTATTTAGAACTTTAGATCTAGATTCTCATCAAAAAGATTCACTTGAAAATTTGTAGCAGTTCCCATTATCTTTCAGACATACTGAGTTACGTCATCGGAAGCTTATCACGAAAGACCGGAACATAAAGTATATTAACTCGTCTAAGTTCGGGAACGTTTGCGAACTACGTGCTCATGGAAAACATTCTCACTCGTAGAGAAATGCGAAATTTGAAAATCAATTTTCTTTGCCTGAAAGAGCTCATGGTTCATAATTCTTATTAAAATATAACTCTTATTAAGTTAGTATATTTAGATTTGTACAAAAGATATTGAAGATACTACTGTAACATATGAATTGTTATATATACGGAAAGAACAATTTTGCTGAAGTATCTAAAAATTTAGCTAGAGACGGATCTAAAAATACTTTGTTGAACTATCAAAGTAATTACGTAGAAATCTCAAGCATTTTCAGACTCGTATCTAAATTTTTAAATACTTTAGCAAAATCGTCTTTTCCTGTAAAAATTCCTATTTTTTAATTTGATTTTTTGTGTAAGATATTTTATGCTTTTCTAAAAAATACTTAAAAAAATTGTATTTAAAATCGTATTAAAAATTGTATCTTGAAAGTTAATCTTTAATTTTTTTTTATAATATAAAAGAGATAAAATTGTACATCGATATAAATTGAATTATTTAATTTGATTGGAATTAAATAAATTTTATTTGCATGATATGAAAATATTTATTTTTTTATTTATATTTATTTTTTTGCAAACGTATTAATTAAGATAATTTTATATATATTTTGATGATTATAGAATCTAATAAGATTTTCCGTTGTATGCCACTGTTAAGAAAGATAAGTCGTATTTTGCAAACACAACTACTATCGGAATGTCCTCGAAGAATTGCGAAGTTGCAATCTCCGGGTGAAGGGTCACGTATTTCACCTTGAGTCATATATAGGTACAATGGTCCTGCATGCATAACGTATAAAATGTTCGATCGTGTGTATGCATACACATACACACACACGCATGCACGCACGCACGCACACACACACACACACGCACACACACACACACACACACACACACACACACACACACACACAAGCCTTCATCTATATTTTAGAACACGTATAGCTATACGCAAATCTCAAGCGTAAGAGATGTATTATTTTGAAAATACATCGAGCAAGCACAGAAAGCAAGCGAATTGCTCTGCTTCTGTTTGAACTAACGAATACGAATTGTGAATCGTTATCTCAGTGAAGTAAGATTTATCGCGATGCCATAATTCACCTATTCGACTTTTGACTGTCGAGGCAGATCTTCGTAATGTTCCTTTATTGGACCTCGTATTCGATATCAGAGGTATAAATTTTACGCGTTGAACTGCACGCGCAAGTTTCGACTACTCTCTTGAGTTTTGCCGGAAGGGTTTCAGATAAGTATAAACACGTCTATCTCTGATAAAAGACTGGATGCTAAGGAGTGTTAAGGTGCTAAAAAAAGTCCCATCGACCATTTATTTCGATAATTTTTATGACTATTTCTTAAAATAATTCCTTTAGGAGATTTCACTTATAAAAAGCGATTATTATAAATAGACGAGAGATAAAGAGAGAAGAGATTATAATCTTTATAATTTTAAAGATATGATAGATAATATTTATTTTATATCTCGTATATGTAATAAAATCCACAGTTTAAAACTGTTCGATTTTTCTTCTTTAAAATAAAAACACATGGCTTACAAAAGTTTCGGTGGGCAAACTATTTAAAGCAGCATTACAAATGGAGGTCTAATTGAAACCTTTAATTTAATGACTATGTTGCTGTTTTGTATTGTCCTGTTTGCCCAACTGCTCGATTTATATTTAATTAACAAAGCGCAATAAATAAACTGACGAAATGTTTCCTTCTGCAATTTAAAAGAAGTGAAAAATATTTCGGTTGTATATTTTGTTCTTCTTTTTTTACAGGAAAAATTTTACGAGAGAAAACTTGTAAATATTTTCTAAGAAATATTGTTGATATTCTTCCAAAAAAGTTTTGGATAGTATCGTATTTATCTCTCTTGTCGGTACAATGCTTTCCGATAAAGTCATAAATTGTTGTAAATTGTAAAATAGTAGGCGTTGAAGATAGACGGATACCTGAACTGTCGTCTATTCGGAGATCTTTCAAGGATTTTGAGCTTGATCGCTCGTAAATTTACGATCGACCCTCCTTTTAGTCAAGCGGCAAACAAATCATGATATCAATCGATGCTATGCCTATGGGTATGAAATTCGGCCTTTTGGTAAGAAACTTTATATCATCACTAAACATCTTACACTATTGTGGAACTTTTACAATTGCTTTGAAAAGTTTAGTATTTCGTTTTCTATTTACAAATTAATCGAAATTTCGAAATCATTTTAATTTTTAATAAAATAGAAATTGAGAGAGAAAAATATTGGACTGATAAAGTTACAACAAATTGAATTAATTAAACAAACAATTTACTAATCGTGAAGGAATTTGTAACAAATATTTAGTAGTTGTTTAATGTTCTCATATCATGATGAAGTTAATTGATTTTAGTTAAAATGCGATGCGACAGGTGTAGTTTCCGAAAATGCGAATTTCATCGTGTTAATGCGCGGAACGCGCGTAGTCATGGATAACCATATCTCTCACGCGGATGGATAAAAGCGAACATTTGAAACGCAGTGCCACTTTGATCTGGGGAGTTCGTTGCCATGGCTACTGCAACCGCGTTCAGTGAAGGGCCGCAGTTATCCTAGTTGTTGGATTGTTCTCTTTCCCTCTTCATGCTGATGCTTTTCGACGCATCCCCAATCCTGCCGTCGTACCGAGGAAATTTAAATGCGAATAAATGCGCGGCGAATAAATAAACCGAATGCTATATTTATCGTCGTTCTTTTGGTAAAATAAACATCTCTTTGGTTTCCGAGAAATTCTTTCGCATTAGAGAAAAATCTTTGTTTTGTTAAAAATACACGTACTTGAAAAGAATAATGTATCAAATATAACCACAAATGTAAGTAATAAAAAAGTATAATAATAAATGTATATATTATTTTATAAATTATTTGATGTTTTCGAAATATGACTTTCTATAATAATCAGAAATATACATGCATTTAAAATACTGAACTATATCATAAAATATCCTTCTTATATAGCATCTATTTCGTGACACAATATATAGTCGCATTTTAAGAGAAAAATTCCATTCGGCTGGCTCGAAAGAAATTCCCATACCACATAAAAATATGATATTGTTACTTTCTTTTTCATTAGAGTTTTAAACGGTGAAGTGTATGTAACAGCTAGCTAAATAAATCTCTCTTATTTATTAAAAATTAGGAAAGTCAAACATCGTATTCAATAGTTTAAAAATTTTGTAATATTATCAATTATTATATTATTATTAAAAAGACTTATCATTTTCTGTAGTATGTAATAATTGTTACAATAAAAAAATAATTATTTTAAAAATCTGATCTCACCTCCTTGGGGAAAAAATTGCGAATAGATGCACTTAAAAGTATCTTCCCTGACGACTCCCGTAGGACATTCAGCCTTGAAGCCGCGATATATTCTCTTCAGTTCAGCTTCTGTGAATCTGGTCGCTCGACAAAGGCTCGCTAAGGAGTCTGGCCTGTATCTTGGTGTTTGCTCTTCCTCGTATTCCGAGTCTGCGAAATAAAAACAAAACCTGTGTTAATCATGGAAAAGAAATCAGCAAATTCCGTTCATGTATTGCGAATTCGTTGGACCGATAGAAAGCTTTAACAAGATTAAAGAACTTTACTGAAAGCTTAAGACGAAATGCTACATTTTACTGAGATCTTGGCAGCAGATACGAGTAGCTATTAGTGTGATATTTATAAAATGGACGAAGAAAAAGCTCTATCAAATACGAAAATCTATACTGTTTTAAAACATTTATATAAGTACGTCTTTCGAACAATAACATTTTTTTTAATCTTAAATTATTAAAATGTTATAATAAAAATTAACTTTTTTCATTTATTCTTAACTAACATTTAAAGGAAAAAGTTTTTAAAAAGATTTTTAAGTGTAGCTAAATATGTGCCTTTATCAACAAATACATAGATATAAAAAAATAAAAATAAATAAAAAGTTTCATAATACATGTAAAATGAACTAAATATTTATGATTTATTGTATCAATATGACAATTGAATATGTAAAACAGATGAAATAATCCTGAATTGACATACCTATCTTTTTCATATGTTATTGCTATATCAAATCCGATAAAACTTGACATCTCTTCTCTGCTATTATTTTGATTCTTTTTTTTTCAATATGCGAGACATCAATCGATGTGGGTATATAAAGCCCGATTCGACGACACATTGCAGATACGAATAGAAACCTGAGATTGAATTGCAAGATTCAAACTCACGTGTGATATTGCAATCGTCCGCAGTGTTATGTCACACGGAAATTTTGAATTTTTCCGTAATTGAATCTCAGGTTCTAATATCTTATTATCGTTCGTTATTTATTTCAAATTTAAAAAACATAACATTTAATGTATAAATTTCGAAATAATTTATACTAACAAAAAGAATTCATAATTTCAAAAATGCATCGAATACGCGCGCGCAGAAGCTATCTAATTTTGATATCTATTAAAATTTTTAACAGTATTTATTTTAACTTTATGATTAAATTTCAAAACAAAGCATTTAAAATGATAGCTTTAATATTCAAAAACAAATTCGTAAATTTCATAATACTTAATAGCCAAATTATTTAATAGCCAAAATTTCAGTACTTTGTACTGAAATTTTGGCTATTAAATAATCACGTCGATTTTTTTTTATACATTATTTGAATTGATTCTCTACGAGGATAATGAAACGTATAGAGAAATCGCGAATGTACTGCAATCTATAAAATTCCATAGAATATGTGAATGGCGGTAGTGCATTGCTACACCTTATTTCCCATGGGACAATCCTTTTTATTCCTAGAAAAGGCCATCGAACTTTTAAGAAACCTGAATGTAAAATGACCTTCGGCACAGTAAAGCACAGCGTTTATGAGACCAGTACTGGAGCGAGATACGAGCAGCCACGATGTGCCGAAGAGATTTTGTAAAAATTGCTCTTCCTTGTAGTTTGAAAGCCATCCGTTCTATATCTCATATATGGTTCATGTAATATTTATGAGATTTCATTCAATGTCGTGACGTTGTGAGATCAAAGATGAGGTGAATTTTCGAATCGCTTGTCAACCTGGCAATCGAAGCAGTATATGACGGATTTGCAAACTATATTTCACAGATATTGCTGTCACTGAAGAATTGCGTTAATATTAGAATGAAAAATTTATGTATTCATTTTTATTTTATCACGAAAAAGTCTAAATAAAAAATTTTTATGCAATTTATCTGACTAGGTATATAGGGAAAAATATATGAATTATTTGGTAAAATGAGGACAATGAATGTATGCTCTGTAGAATGAAATAGCTTATATGTACATACATTTCTTCTAAAATGATTTAAATTCTGAGATCACATTTACAAGAAAAAATTTTATACACAAAACGATGTTGCTCGTACAATGTATAATTCATTTATTTTATAAGAAATATAAACATCATTATAAATTTGCGATAAAAGATCATAAAAATCAATATAGTGTTTCTATTTCATCAAAGCTTTGAAAATTAGATGATAAAAGAAACATTTCCAAGTAAAAATTTGTTATATAAGAACATATATATAAAAATATACAAACATATACAATATATAATTATATACAAAAATATATAATTATGCGAACTGTGTTTTTAATAAAAGAAACAATACGGAAATGATCCTTTTAATTATTTTATGTTCTTTCTCATTTTACTATTGCTATTTTTTGTATCAAACAATAATTTTACAAATAGAAGAAGAATACATGGATATATATGTAATCAAATTTCGTATACAATTATATATTTTTGTATTTATTTATATATATTCTTACATGAAAAAATTTTGGAATTGTTAGACTTACGTAATAAAAATATTTTGCAATACATGTATTGCCTTCTCAAAACAAAAGAAATATATCGAATTAGCAATTCAATCTTCTCTTAATTAAAAAAAAATATTAACTAATTAAGTTAAAAGAAAGAGAAACTAAAAAAATACTCTATTGTTTAAATAAAGCAATTTTTCTATAAGCAATTAAAATTGTTAAAATGCACATCTAAATAAAATTTAGAAAATAAACAGAATATAATAGTCTTTGTATTGTCGTTAAAATGGCATTGTTAGACTTATACGATAAAAATATTTTGCATTGTATTTTTAAACAGAAAACGAATTTTTGTTATTTCATCCTCCGATATAAGCGACCTGAATGAAGTGATTTGACAATAAATCCCTTCCACGCGGTAAAACACTGCCGCGCGCAGAAGTGTACAGTGAAAATCGAAACGTATATCGTGCATACGATATCCTGCTCTCATATACAGCATAGAAGATCAGAGTGGAAAGAGAGATTTTTGTACTGCTCCTACACATATACATGGGAGCTTTCGTTATGTTTTCCACAAGAGAGGTTACAGAAGTTGGAAAGTGTGAAAGTAATCCAGTGTTGGAATTTAAATCGAATCATCTTGTTCCGACAGTACTGGATTTCTCAGATTCGATCTACAGACAAATGTGACGCATGAAATAAAGGACAAAAACGAGACACATTGAAAATTGGTGCGAAATTCTCTCACGAGGGGAACGATAACAAAGAGAACATCTGGTATGTATTTGTATTTTCAATACAATTATTGAAATTACAACTTCAGTAATTTCGTTGGGAATTTATGACAGCATGGAATCAACTAAGAAGAATACGTTTGCGTTATTGAAAAGAATTTTGCAAATTTCCACTGAATCGTTGGATATGTTTTTAAAAACAAGTATTTTCTTAATCTTAAAAAAATATTTATAATTTGAATCATTATATAATAGTTACAGTATATCATTACTCATAAATATTAAATACAATAAGGACCATACATGACATGAAATAACAACAATTTTTACATTAATTTACATTAATTTAATGTAAAGAAATTGCGTGCATTTAACAACATGGTTCCAGAGAATTCTAGATATTATTTTTACGCTATTTTCTTCAAAAACATGTTGGACAGAAAAAACCATCAGAACCATCAGAACAGAAAAAAAAGACTTCAAATTTAATCTAGACGAGGTTGTTTTTGTATTCTTCTGCTTTTTCGTGTCATATGCTCTTTAAGTAAAAGACCGTTTGACTGAACGTAAATAGGGTCAACGGCAAAGCAACATTCGTTCGACCCTATGTCTCATTCCGGACGATGGTCTAGAACAGATGAAGCTCAAATTGTGGACTTCGATGATTCCTCCTCTTTTCGAGATATTGGATCTGTGCGAAGGATGAAAAGCATTCCTCGCAGAATGCATCCGTTGCCGTTGGATAGGCAGGATGTACATTGGTCTCTGATTCTTGATGAAAGGCTGAACTATTCGAGTTTCCGTCAATGTGTTCATCAATAGTAATCCCGTAGGAATTTATTATACGCTGGCAAATGAATGATATTCAGATGTTTGTAAATGATTCTAGAGAGACCGAGATAGATTTTTATATATGCATTTTCTTTATAAATTATGTGATTCTGGTTTAAAGAAATAAATAATGCGCGATATAAATAAAATATAAATAAGCCAACAAATTATAAGAAAACCTGTTATTTAATTATGTTTCTTAAAATAGATAACAAAATATATTTTGGATTTAAAAAACATTTTAATCCTCCCGTTTTATTCTTATTACTACATTAGAATTTGTAAAAAATGAATAATCATAAATCGTTTCAATATTCAAGTTTTTCGGGTTGAGCGAAAGAGGATTTCATAATCAGATTAATTTCATGCGGTATCTCTCATATTGCCTTTTTAAACTGGTCATATTAAAATGTAATTAATGTTAAACAGAAATTTTATTTTTATGGACGTTTTGTTATTAATATGTGTTTATAATAAAAATTTTGATTAATATTATTTATTATTTTAAATGTCATTTCTGTTTATAATTTTAATATTAATTTTAATTATTATTATTTTT